CCTTTTGTGTTGTTGTCGTTTCCGAGGCGAGTGTCTCACCAGCCTTTCCAGCTCATCGCCTAGACAGGAAACACAACACAAAGAGCAAATCCCACTTTGTGGTGAGTCTACCTTAACAACATCTTAACAGTCTGAAAGTACAAGTGCTCCCGCTGTCTCTTTTCTAGACTAAATAGTTACTAGGGATCCTGAATTCACACACCCCTTTGCCCGTTATGCAACTATGGACTGCGTCTCCTCTTATCTAATGGCCCTTAAGCAGCCACTCTCCTCCTAAGAAGGCAACGTTTCTCAGCCTTGATCCCCGGAAGATGGGTGGACTTCGACTCCCAGAATTCCCCAGCCAGCAAATGCCGGTTGGGTGGCTTTTCTGGGCCAGTCACTCTCTCTCAGCCCTAGGAAGGAGACAATGGCGAACCATCTCTGGGGAACCTTGCCCAGAAAAATCACCGAGAGACATCCAGGCCATGTCCATGGAACAGAGCAGAATGAATGAAAGAAAAGAAAGGGAAGGAGGGGGGAAAAAAAGGAAGAGAAAGTTAAGGAAAGGGAAGGGAGGGAGGGAGGGAAAAAGGAAGAGAAGAAGAGAAGAGAAAGGAAGGAAAGAAAGAAAAGGAATGAAGGAAAGAAGAGGAAAAAAGGAAAGGAAGGAAGGAAGGAAAAGAGAGGAAGGGAGGAAGAAAGAAAATATACAAAAGGAAGGAAGGAAGGAAGGAGGGAAGGAAGGAAGGAAGGAAGGAAGGAAGGAGGAAGGAAGGAGGAAGGAAGGAAGGAAGGAAATAGACGGAGCCCCTTCAGCAGGCCTATTCTGCCCCTCCCCGGCTGAACTCCTGACCCCTCGGTCGATCTTAGCATCCTGCCAACAACCTCTGCCAATTGCAAGATCGGGATGGGTGGGGGGAGTCATCCCTCTGCAAGGGGGGGCTCTGAGTCACGGCCTCCACCCCACCCCCCCCACCCCATTCTTGAAGAGATGCCCTTCTGGCTTCCTCTTTCTGGAGCTGTCTGATCTCTTCTTCTTTCAAAGAAAGTTGTGTGGCTTTGCGGTCCAAATCCTTCGGCCAGATTCCCCATCTATCCATTGGCAAAGCTGGGGGAGAAGCGGGGGGGGTCGCACCCGGCCTGTCAATTTTGCAGCCTTAATTTGGGGAGCACCTTTTACAGCCGGGATTCTGCTCCTGGGGAGGGGGAGGGGGAGGAAGGTTGTGGTGGGTGTGGCCATGGCAAACTGGGCAGGGCCAAAGCTTGGTCCTTCCCTTGGGGGGAGGAGCTAACCAGCATTTCTCAACCTCAGCCAATTCAAGCTGGGTGGACTTCAATTCCCAGAATTCCCCAGCCAGCATTCACTACCAACCAGCACTCAGCAGTACCCATGAATTCTGGGAGTTGAAGTCCACCAGTGCTAAAGTGACAGAGGAATTCTGGGAGTTGTAGTCCATAAGTCTTAAAGTAACTGAGGAATTCTGGGAGTTGAAGTCCACCAGTGCTAAAGTGACAGAGGAATTCTGGGAGTTGTAGTCCATAAGTCTTAAAGTAACTGAGGAATTCTGGAGTTGAAGTCCACCAGTGCTAAAGTGACAGAGGAATTCTGGGAGTTGTAGTCCATAAGTCTTAAAGTAACTGAGGAATTCTGGGAGTTGAAGTCCACCAGTGCTAAAGTGATTGATGAATTCTAGGAGCTGAAGTCCATCAATCTTAAAGTGACTGAGGAATTCTGGGAGTTGAAGTCCACCAGTCTTAAAGTGGCCACATTTGGAGACCCCTGTGCTATAGACAATGTTGTGTGTCTTATGACACACAACATAAGGGGGGGGCGGGGAGGAAAGGGGATTTTAAATTAAATTTTGCATTCTTTTGAACACTTCAGACTCGTTTTCCCAAGTCCAAAAAATATTTGTTGATCTGAGTCTTTCAAACTTCTCATCCCAAATGAAGACTGAGTGGCGCCTGAGGAGCCTGAGAGGCATAGGAGGCTAATGCCTCCTAAGGCAGCATTTAACATCCAGCTGCCTGCAATTACTGCGAGTTCGAATCTCACCAGGCTCAAGGTTGACTCAGCCTTCCATCCTTTCTAAGATAGGTAAAATGAGGACCCAGTTTGTGGGGGCAATAAGCTGACTTTGTATAAAAATATACAAAAGTATGAAGGCTATTGCTTAGCGCATTGTAAGCCGCCCTGAGTCTCCGGAGAAGGACGGCATATAAATAAATAAATAAAAAAAGACTGTTATAAGCAGATGGCCGAACATATATATTCATTCAATTAGGCAGCATGCAAAAACAGGTTGTAAAACCCCTCCAGATTAATATCAATATATCACATTTATTTAAAAAATAGAATAGAATAGAATAACAGAGTTTTGAAGGGACCTTTGAGGTCTTCTAGTCCAACCCCCGGTTTATTTAGACTAGGTTTAAGGTCATTCAAGCTGGTAGATCGCTTGGTGTCTTTGTCTGCATATTTCCAAAAACGACTTTAAAAAAATAAAATAAAAATAAAAAGCCCAACCAGGGGGCTGGGAGGGGGAGAAATCCCAGCTGTTCAATCCCCCCCGCCCCCCCACCCAAAGATAAATCACGCTGCGAGACACGCTGGTGGGTTTTCATTAATTTTTAATTATTCATTGCCGAAGGCGATAATATTTCTATGCAAAATACTCTCTTATATCTCCCACCCCCCAGCCCAGCCCAGCCCAGCCCAGCCCCCACCCCTGCCGATCCTCGGTGCCCCCCGCCCCCAAGAAATCACCCCAGCTAGTTCTTTTAATATTTTTTTTTAATTTTTTTGTTTGGCATTTTTGCAAAGGGGAACGAAGGACCCTTTTCTGCCTGACCGACTTCTTCTGCCCCCAACCCCCATCGTTGAGGGTGGGGTGGGGGGGTGGGGTGGCGGCGTAGAGGAGGGGGGCACAGGGATCCCGTCCCTGGGTTGAAAGCCCTTGACAAGTGTCAGTCAGCAGGATGGCTGCCATTTCTGGAGTGAGTGCTGGGCATAAGGGGAGGGGGACATGAGGGAAAGGTTGAGTCCCCCGCTCGCCCCCCCACCCAAAATCAGGCCCAGCCTCTTGGGCTGGAAGCAAGCCAAGTTTGCAGGACAGGGGACCATCTTTGGAAACCGGGGTAATAAATAAATCTTTCTCTCTCTATACATATATATCTATATATTCCATCCTCCCCCCTTCTTCCAGCCAGCTGCCTTCTCAGCCTGGAATCGGCCAGTGGGGGGGGGCACCCAGAGCTATCTAGACCACCCCAAGCTGCCTCTTTGTTGTGCTCAGAAAAAAAATTCTCTTCCCCCCTGCCTCTCTCTCTCTCTTTCTCTCCCCCCATGAAAGGCCACCTGGAAGCGCGTAAAAGAAACCAACATTTGAAATAAAAAATGAGGAGGTGGTCTTCCACCGGGGGGGGAGGGGCAAGAGGTTGGTCAGCAGGGGAGGGGGGTTGAATGCTCCAAAAAAACCCACCACCCTCCCCAGAAGCCTCTCTTCATCGGAAGGCAATGTTGAAAAATTTGATGGATCTCCTGCCTCCAATATTTATTTTTTTTCCTGATTCCTGCGACGCTGAGGACTAGTAACTTGATTCGTTTTCAGCATCAAAACAGCTGGGGCAGAATAGATACCGCAGAACGTACCAACGATTAAGCCGGGGATTTCTCCCTCTGAAAACTCTCCCCGTTGTTTTTTTTAAAAAAAATCTGTAATTCACGATTTCTGCCCAAACTCGCCGCAAACTCCGGACTTGTGAATTTTGCGTCTTGAATTTTGGGTCTTGTAGGGGACTTCCAAAGCAGTAAGGGTGGGGTGAGGGGGGCGCATAATTTCTCTAACCCACCTTCTTCTCCCTCCCGGTTTCTCTTTGTTTTTTTTTGCTTTTATGTACAAAAAAAAATTAAGAATAATCCATTCCTCTTGGAAATGACAATTTTCCGAAGTAGATTTTTTCCCCCCTGTTAAAAACGGTTTCTCCTTTATATATTTGTGTTTGTTTTTTTCGTAACATCACGCACAGCCGCACCAAAAGACTTGATATGACCGCAAAAAAGAATCACAGGACATAGAAAAAAAAATAATAATAATAATTGTTGTTGTTGTTGTTGTTTATCTTACTTTTTCTCTCTTTCTCCTCACCTCTTCCCTTTCCCTTCTGTGGAAAGAAAAATATAGATTGCCTAAAATATAGTAAAATTCCACCACACCTTTTTTTTTTGTCCTCTCTTGAAGCTGCAAATGACTCCTCATGCACTCAAGAGGAAATCAAAAATAAGAAGAGTCAAAAAAAAAAAAAAAAAAGAAAAAATGCAACCGGAAAAAAAAAAAGCATTTTTATATATATGTGACCATTATTTCGCATATATATGAATAAAATTCCTAAGTCATTTGGCTATTCTGTACAAGCACAATTCTCCAGTTCTTGATTTGATTCAGCATTTCTCAACCTCAGCAACTTTAAAACGAGTGGACTTCAACTCCCAGAATTCCCTGGCAGTAATGCGTTCCTTTTGCTTTGTATGCCCATTGTGGCCTGCTTACTCTCGTATAATCCCTTCCTCTGCAATCTCTCTGCTCTAGGAGATAGGAGAATCAAAACAGGCATGGCTGGCTGGCTGGGGGATTCTGGGAATTGAAGTCCACCCATCTTAAAGTTGCTGAGGTTGAGAAAAAAACGTTATTTTAACGAACAATCATTCTTTTCACTCAAAATCGCGAAGGGAAAGAAGGAAAGCTAATTTTTCTTCCTTTCCAGGGATGGGGGGGGGGTGGAGGGTGGGGTTAAAAAAAGATATTTTAAAAAGCAAAATGTTGAAGGGTGATTTGAACCCTTTGCAGAGGGTTTTTTTCTCTCTCATCTTTTTCTCCCAAATTGTCTCTTTCCTCTAAAGAAGATGAAAACCACGAGAATCCAAAATCTTGCCAAATTCTCCATCCACTTTGTATCACCCTGGGAACTCTGCCTCGGCCACGTCCAGAAGACATAAACAGATCGAAAAGGTCTTCTGCTTGTAGAAAAAAAAATAAAATGAAAAAAATCCTTCCTTCCTTCCTTTCCTCCCTTCCTTCCTTCTTTCTTTCTTTCCTTTCTCTCCTTCCTTCCCGATTCCTGACCCGCTTCCTGCTTGCCGAATAAAAGAGATCAGAATCTAAGGACCAGCCCCCCCTTTTTTTCTCCCCCCCCCAAATGACCGCATGCAAATGCTAGCGCTGTTGGGGTCCAGGGGGGAGGAGGTCAGAAGCCCCTCAGTTGCACTGTGGAAAGAAAAACGGGGAGGGGGGGGCATCGCCACGCGAGTCGGACAAGAAGAAAAAAAAGCACGCCATCGTTTCCCCCCCTCCCCGTCCGAGTCTTAAAGAAGAGAAGAAGAAACTCAAAAGTAAGGGCGTATCTCGAGGCGTTTGCCCACCACCCCACCCCAAAAGAGTGACCAACGGCTAAGTTCAAGGGGGGGGCAAGAGGCAGGGGCGCTCCTCTGCTCCAGAGGCAGCTCCGGCGATGCGCTTGCAGAGTTGACGGTTGGTTGGTCGGTTGGTGGAATTCAGGATCCCTTCCCGGAGAAATTTAGTTCATCGCTCTAAAGTCTTTCACGAGCCGGAATCCAGATATAAGGACCAGAGAGTTCCTCGACGATTCTCTTGATCTTGTGGTAAACCTCTTCGAAGCTCTCTCCTTCTACGATGGCTGGAGGGGAGAGAAGAGAGGCAGAGCATCGTGAGATGAGCAAGAGGGGGACTTTCCGAAGGCGTCACGGCCCCATCGGATCCGGATCCGGAAAAAGGAGGAGGAGTTGGAACCGAGATCATCCGACGAGGATGCCACCACATCTCCCTCGGCATGTATGGAGAGGCCATGGGCTGAGGACGATGCTGTCCCAGGCCCCTTAGGCATTGAGGAAGGTGGTGGACCGGACGGAGAGCTGCCTGCCCTGACTGATACGAGGGTGGTGATTGGCTGCAGACAGGCAGGGGTGCTGATAGGCAGCCTATACCCTCCAATAAGGAACAGCTGCCTCCCCATTCGATCTGAGGGCACAGTGACTAGAGTGGAGGCAAGCTCACAGGACGTCTGCAAGGTTGTTCGGGAGAAGGTCATCCCGCTACTTCTCACAAGGAACACCTGGCTTGGGTTGACTTAAGGAAACATCAGAGAAGATCGACTTTGTCAAGAATAATGTTTTGCATTGGCATGCACTCTCTCCCACCCAACGGCTTTGGAAAAACCCACCCTTGACTCATGTTTCTGCCTGTGTCTTGCCTTATGTCCTGCCCCGTGGATCTTGCACCTTGTCTTTGGACTTCCTCTCTCTGCCTTTGAGAATTGGTTTTGTTGCTTACTGGCTTGTGTTTGTGAGATTGTGGATGGCTGCCTTCAGGGAAGTGTGGGGTGGAAACTTACTGGCTGTTGTAAGGCTGTTTCGTTGGGGAATTTAACGGAGCAATAAAGGAGACTATCACGCCTGTCTCTGCCTAAGAGACCTGGGTCAGAACGGAAGGTGTGTGGGGGGGGTCTCAGCTCGGCTCAGTTCAGCTCGGAAGGTGGGTAGGGGGCTTGGCTTGGCTCAGCTCGGAAGATGGGGGGGTCTCGGTTGGGGAAGGGAAGAAGGCGAAGCCTGGACGGCTTACAATCGGCAGAGATTTGTGCGATCGCTGTAGAATCCCCATGGTCACATGATCAAAATTCATCGTCATCCCGGGGTAACACAACTCCCTTTTGCAACCTCCTGACGAGCAAAGTCAACGGGGAAGCCAGATTCGCTTAACGACCATGTGGCTAACTTAACAACTGCAGGGATTCACTTACCAACAGTGGGAAGAAAGGTCGTAAAATGGGACAAAACTCACTTCACGGGTGTCTCGCTTAGCAACGGAAATTTTGGGCTCAATTGTGGTCATACGTTGACAACTAACCTGTATTTATTTATTTATTCCATCTCGTTTCAGAGCAACGGTTACTAAGTCGTAACTCGAGGACTAACCTGTATCCCTCTATCTCATTTAAATCTCACCAATCCCACTTATTGTCCAGGACTACATGCGTACTACATAACCCATGCGTCTGTGGAGAAGGAAATGTTACTCTCAAGTCCATGCCAGCGAGAATGCCCAAGGCGCCCACCCGCACAAATGCACTTCGATCGTCGCTAGATAACGTTTGTGGATTATTAGGTACGTGCATGTGGACTAGAAACTTGAGATGATAGATTTAAAAACAAATAAATAATAATAATGGTGAAGCTATGGATTCGAACCTACCTGAAAAGCATTCTGTAAACTCCTGCTCGAGTTTCGTAGCTCTGTCGAAAGCCTTCCGCGCCTGCTCCTCCGTTATCCGCTTGTTAATTTCTCTGGGGGTCACAAATAGACGTTCGGCATATGAACAATCTCACAAAGCCCCATGGGCTGCCTTGCTCCCTCGTTTGTTTCAACCCTTGGCTCTCTGCACATGGGCAGAGAACTCCACGGGGGCTCCCTCTTCCTCCTCCTGCTCTCTGGTCTAATGTTCTGTGGCTGCTCAGCGCCGAAGGGAAACTGCCCAGAGAGATAGACTACTCCTGAATATGGAAACTCCATATAGAGTTTATTTGAGCTGGTTGGGAGTGATGGGAGGGGTAGTCCATCCCATTCTCAGTTGGAGAAAGGGTGGAATTTGAGCAAGGAGGACTGCCAATTAAAACAAATTTCTGTCCCGGAGCTGATGGTTATTCAAGGGCCCTCTGGACTGTTCTCTTAACGGAGAAAGGACTGAAGTTTCTTAAGTAAATGGAGACCTAACTTGCGTGTCTCTGACTGCCCCTCAACATGGAGGCTCCATCTACCAAAACTCCTTCTAGCCAAGGGTGAAACCAGGGTGAACTGCTGGCTTCCCTGGTCTTGTGGCAGGGAGTTCCACAGCGCAATCCCGTCGTTTGGATTTCCTTGCCTCCGCGTCTCTCTCCCATCAGACCCCAAAATTGGGGAAGATGGACAAGGCTCTCCCGCTAGCCCCCTTGCTTGGCCGCAGCTTCCTCTTGCCCCCCCCTAAAATCCTGACCAGTACACATGTACCCCCACCCCCCCAGGACCCCTACTCACAAAACATTCTCGAGGGAGCGGGGTCGGATGAAAATGGCGATGGGGTGAAGCTGAGCGGCTTGCAGCCTCCGGACGGCGTTGGCGGAAACGTCCAAAATGCAGTGCTTGCCCTGGAAGGGGGGTGGGGTGGGGAAGAGAACGATGGGCTCAGGAACACCCACATACCCACAGAGAGTACATATGTGCTTGTTTGTGTTGGTCTATATGGAGATGCCTCTTGTTGCATCTACAAAGCATGGGTGTTTGTTGCCTGAATAGCAGGCAACCCCTTCCCATCCTAGGAGGTGGGAAGAGAGCCCCCGATGATGGATTACGATTGGTGGGGGGAACCCTAAAAATCCTTCCTTAATTTTGGATCTCTCTCTCTTTCTCTCTTTCTCTCTCTCCCCCTCCCTCTCTCTCTTCCCCCTCTCTCTACTTCTCTTTTTCTCTCTTTCTATCTTCTTCTTTCTCTCTCTCCCCGTCTCTCTTTCGCTCCCTCTCCCTCTCTCTCTTTCCCGCCTTCCCTCTCTCTCCACCTCTCTCTCCACCTTTCTGTTCCTCTTTTTCTATCTCCTTCTCTTTTTCTATCTCCTTCTCTCTTTCTCTCCCCATCTCTCTTTCTCCCTGTCTCTTTGTCTCCCTCTCTCCCTCCCTCTCTCTCTCTGTCCCCTCTCTCCACTTGTTTCTTTTTCTATCTCCTTCTCTCTCTCTTCTCTCGTCTTTCTCCCCGACTCTCCCTCTCCCTCTCTCATTCTCTCTTTCTCTCCCTCTCCCATTCTCTCTTTCTCCCTCCCTCCCTCTCGCACTTCCTGTGGACAATCCTGCTCACTCGCCTTTGCATCCCGCCACGTACCTGCTCAGCCACCTCCCGTACAGATTGGACGCTTGTCCCGTAAAGGTGACTGTTGTACTGTCCGGCCTCGATGAATTTGTGGCTTTGAATGTCCTTCTCCATCTTCTCCCGCGAAGCCACAAAGTGGTAATCTCGGCCGTCCACTTCGTACTCCCGTTTCGGCCGCGTGGTGTCTGCCAGAGAGATTTTACGTCACTCCCTTCCAGCGTAGGTTGGAGGAACCCTTTCGGCATGATTACGCCCTGCGCAACCCCCCTCCCACCAAATCCATTTCCCCAGATCCAATGATCCAAACCCCACATCCCTCAAAAGTGGGGGGGGACTCCTCTGTGGTGGACTCACGTGGGACGCAAGATCCAAATTTGTCTGGGAATTCAGAGAGGAGGTCATCGTTGACTCGGTCCTTGGTGGGTCCCAAAATAATGATCGGACGTGCATAATGAACTAGAACGAAAGGCAGAAAAGTTAAAAAGAGGGGCAGGGGCATCAAGTGGGGGGGGGATGCAAAAATCCAAGCAGGGACTTGAAACCTCAAACCACTGAAACAGATGGTGTGAAAATGTAGATCGGGTACGAATGTTGTACAAATGTTGTGGAAATGTACAAATGTTGTACAAATGTTGTGCAAATGTAGATAGGGAACGAATGTTGTACAAATGTCATGCAAATGTATGAATGTTGTACAAATGTCATACAAATGTACAAATGTCATACAAATTTCATACAAATGTACAAATTTCATACAAATGTACACATTTCATACAAATGTACAAATGTCGTACAAATTTCGTACAAATGTACGAATGTCATACAAATGTAGATAGGGTACATCTACAATTGTGTGCATGTTAAGTTTCCCACAAGAGGAGAGATCACTGCCTCCCCCACACTCCCCAGAATCCTTGTTGTCTGAATAGTCCTCGACTTACAACAGTTCGTTTAGTGACCGTTTAAAGTTACAACGGCACTGAAAAAAGTGGCTTACGACTGTTTTTCTACACTCACGACCGTTGCAGCATCCCCAGAGTCATGTCATGAAAATTTGGGTGCTTGGCAACTGACTCATATTTATGATGGGTGCAGCATCCTGAGGTCGCTTTTGGCGATCTTCCGACAAGCAAAATCACTGGGGAAGTCAGGTTCGCTTAACAACCGTGTTACTCACTTAACGACTGTGCTGAGAAAGGTTGGAAAATGGGGCACAACTCATCTAACATTTAACAAATATCTGGACCATCCACCTAAATTTTAGGCTCAATTCAATTGGGGTTGTAAATCGAGGACTACCTATATTTAAAAGTGGGCACAGTAAGACTCAGGAAACAAGGAACTATGTCGTGTATTTTGCATACACACAATTGTGTGCATGCAAAAATTCAAGGTGGCAAGTGTCATCTGCAGATAACGCCGAGTGTTCAAAAGAGGTATTGTCTGCATGTCTGCGTTGGGAGGGAACGAGTTAGCAGAATACTAGAACAATAGAGTTCGAAGGGACCTTGGAGGTCATCTAGTCCAACCCCCTGTTCAAGCATGCAGACACTCCCAACTGGGAGAGATCTAGGACATTTCTCCAGATATTCCCAATTGGCTTCACGGCTTCTCTCGGGCTGTTTTGGAACTTTTCAACTTGTATAATATCAAAGGAGAAATCGGAACTGGGGTTGAGGGCAGTGGGGGGCAGAAAGAAATGAAAGATAAAGGAAATTTCTGGGGGGGGATTTGGGGAGGGTCTGATGAAGAGTTTGGCCGAGGAACCAACCAAGGATTCCCTGCCATGCACCCTGCGCCAATCAGCTGCCTTTCAGAACTGTTGGACTACACCTTCCATCACTCCCAGCCGGTTTCAGGGAAGGCTTTGCTTCCCATCTCTACATCCGATACCCTTTCGGTTTGTCTTCCCTGATTTACTTATGTTTTTTTCTCTTTTCACTTCATTTTGGGTGGGTGGGTGGGTGTGTTTCACACGACTTTTCTGTCCACTGAACTCGCACGGGAAGACGGGACACGGAGGTTATGAACCACAACACCAGCAGGGAAGGAAACTGGAAAAGGGTGGGATTTTTTTTCCTTACCTTCCATTTGCACAACAGTTTCGTAGCTCAACACGGCGTCTTCTCGACCTGCGGAGGAAATGTAGGGAACTTGGTCAAATTATCTTCCTGGCAGGATTCTCCCTGGGTGCCACGACTTGTGCCAGGAGGAAGAGGAGAGGAGGAGGAGGAAGAGAGGAGGAGGAGGAGGAGGAAGAGAAGAGGAGGAGGAGGAGGAAGAGGAGAAAGAGGAGGAGTGGGAGGAGCAGGAGGGGGAGGAAGAGGAGGAGGAAGAAGAGAGGAGCAGGAGGAGGGAAGGAAGAGGAGGAGGAAGAGAGGAGCAGGAGGAGGGGGAGGAAGAGAGGAGGAGGGGAGGGAAGAGGAAGAGGAAGAGGAAGAGGAAGAGGAGGAGGATGAGTGGGAGGAGCAGGAGGAGGGGAAGAAGAGGAGGAGGAAGAGAGAAGCAGGAGGAGGGAAGGAAGAGCAGGAGAAGGAAGAGAGGAGCAGGAGGAGGGAGAGGAAGAGGAGGAGGGGAGGAAGAGGAGGAGGAAGAAAAGAAGTTCAGGAGGAGGAGGAGGAAGAGGAGGACGAAGAGAGGAGCAGGAGGAAGAGGAGGAAGAGGAGGAGGAAAAGGAAGAGAAGGCAGAGGAAGAGCAGGAGGAGGAAGAGCAGGAGGAGGAAGAGAAGGAGAGGAGGAGAAACAGGGACAGTGGAGAGAAACTGACTGCAAGCAGGGGAGGTAGACAGATGGAACAGGGGGTCTCCCAGAGTGGACAAAGGAGGAGGAAGGAAGGGAGCAACACCCACCTTGAGAGCCAGATCCAGGGCCCCGATCCTGGAGGAGGAAGGAAGGAAGAGAAAATAAGGAAGAGAAAGAGAGGAGGAGCAGAGAGAAAGAGAGGAACGGACGCATGAAGACGCCTCAGTTTCTGTGACGGAGCTGGGGGTGGGGGACTGCGTTTGTGGATGCTGGAGGGGGATTCTGGAGGGGAAGCTTCTTCCCCAGGACAAAAGGTGTCCGTTGGCCCCACCCTGAGATGTCCTCCAGATGTCCACAAAGCCCACCACTCTGTCTAGGAGGAACGCAAAGATCTGTACGATCCTGCTCGGATGGGCTTGCTCCATGGACACTAAACTGCCACACTGCACAGAAATGTCTGATAAAGTTTTTTCCAAGCTGCAGAAGATTATCTTTTGGGCCAATTCAGAGCAGATCCCTCTACACACACACACACACACACACAGACGCGCACACACACATGCACACACAGGTTCCCAGGAGAAGCCTAGCAGGAAGTTTGATGGCAGAGAACAAAAACGAGGGCAGCTGGCTCGGAGCTGGGTTCCCTGACCTCATCACCTTGAAGACTGGTGGACTTCAACTCCCAGAATTCCCCAGTCAGCAAGCCAACAAACTGGTGTTATAGGGAGTCCTTGAGTTATGGCGACAATTGGGACCAGGATTCCCACATCGCTTAGCAACAGCAAATCCTTGGAGTCCCACATGAGTTGTTAGTGGTCATTAGACAAGAACCTCTTTTAGCTTCTTGCTGGCTCCACTACCAGGAAGTTGGAAGTCCCAGGTGTTTGCAAGCAGGCAGCAGGGAGGTAAGTGACTGCTGCACAGGAGTGTGTTAGTGGCAGGGAAGGTGTGACAAGGATATGCATGGCGTGCAAGGGTGTGAAGGAGGCATAGTAGGGCTGAGGGAGGGTGTGTGAGGGTGTAAGGACATGGTGAAGCTGGGGAAGGGTGCATGGGTAGTGGAGAGGTGCAGCAAGGCTCAGGGAGGGTGCGTGAGTGTGCAAGGGAGGCATGATGAGGCCCGGGGAGGGTGTGTTAGGGTGTGCAAAAAGCAGAGGCAGAGCAAGCATAGAGGGTCGGGTGGGGAAAACTAACATTAATGACTTGCAACGTTTCCTACTGTCTTCCCCAGTGACTTTCTGGGGAAGCCTGCAGGAAAACTCGCCAAAGCAATCACGTAATTATAGGGCCCTGCAACCGGTCGTAAATGCGAGCCAGCTGCCAAGAGCCCAGATCACAATCATGTGACTTCATAACGTAACTCCGAACGGTCACTGGAGGAACAGTCATAACTCAAGGACTACCTGTAATCAGATTCCAGATTGGTTGTTTGTCCGTAATTCCAAATTCTCTCTCAGTCTACAATTCTTGACAAATGCCCCCCAATTATGTTGGGGTCCTGAACCCCGTCCTTTTCAAGGCTAGGGATGGGCTCACCTTTGCTTTTAACCGCGTCCACTCCCGTCGCTCGACCCTGCAGAGAGAGAAGGAGTGTCAGCTGGGGACCCCAAGGCCTTCCTTCTCAGTCCCCCCAACAATTGCCAGAGCTCAGATATCTTCTCCAACAGCCCAAAGACGGCCCCCCCACCATTAAAAACCGGCCCAAATAGCACGAGACCCCCGAATCTCACCGCTAAGAACTGAGCATCTTACAATATTTCGAACTGATCTTACAAAATCTATCGACACGATTTTGCGGATCGATTTATAGAGACCGCGAACCGCCAAAATCTTGCAGGGGATTTGCACCACCCTTGTGCAAGAATTCGGTGGCGTTCACGCAACCAGGCGAGACCACAAAGATGTTCCGAGACTGTGGACGAGGGTCTAGGACTTTTCGGCTCGGTCCCTTCGCCTTGCCTGTTTTGCCTTGAGGTTTTCGCCTCTGGGTTATTAGCCACAAACTTGTCTCCTCGGATGGCCCTCCACCAGTCTTTCGCCCCGGCACAATCAGTGGTGGGTTGCTCCCAGTTCGCACTGGTTCTCAAGAACTGGTAGTAAAAAATTTTAATAGTTTGGAGAACCGGTAATAAGATTGACTGGCCACGCCCCTGAACCGGTTCCCGCCCGGTTGCCGTTTGCTTACCCCGCCCACTCCCAATCTATTGCTGCCTCCTGAGTCCCAGCTGATGGCTAGAAGGAAAAAACCTGTTTAAACTCTTGCCGCGGGGCTTCAAAGGGCCGCCCTACAACTGATCAGTGTTAAAAGAAAACAAATGAGTAGACCGGTGCCTGCAAAAATAGAAAAAACAGCCCCTTTCAGCTTCAGCATAGGTTAATTACCACAAATTGATTAGATCGGCCTCCCGACTCTCAGCTGATTTGCTCTCAGCTGTTTTGCGCAGGGCTCTGCAAAGAGTGCTGGAGCAGATTTTTTTTCCCCTAGCTATGCTGAAAAAATAAAACTGAAAGTAAAGCAGGGTCTTTGCTGCAACGTGACAAAATGAGGCAGAGAGATATTTTTTTTTTCCTCACCAAAAAAGGTAGGTGCAAAACCGCAAACAATGGGAAATTTAGGGCAAAAGAGGAGAGTTCAAGATTTTAAAACACAAAAGAAAAAAAGCTCTATTTAACTAGGGAATTATAATAATTGAGATACTATTAATTGTATATTGTGTTGAAAGCAGAAATGGTTAAGTTGTGGTTTGGAGGAATATATGGGGGAAATTATTTGGTTTATTATTATTGGTAAATATAATTAATTGATTTGTAAGAAATTGGATTGCATGGAAATAATTGGAATATTCATGTTCATATTGATTAATATACAAAAAAGATAGTTATATAACTAATTGATTTATATTAAAATGTTAAATTTGTATTAAACAACTGTAATATTACATAATTAACAATGTGAGGATGGATATAAAAATAGATGACAATGGGAAGGGGTATAATATAGAATAGAAGGGGAAAATTGAATTTGATTAAGATTAGAGATGAGGGTGAAGGGTAATATTGGTTTTTTAAAAAAATAGATGAGGAATAAATATGGCAAAAAGGAAATATAGAAATTGTAAATTTAATTGAAATGACTAAACACTGGTTAAATTTGTGAACCGGCCAGATACTCTGTTCAAAGAAAATACATTGTATGTTTGTATGTGTGTTTCTAATTATTGCTATTTATTCATGTTTGTTCTCTTTTATTCTTTAAAGTTTAACAATTCATTCTTTATCTTAATATCTTTATATTTGTTTGGGGTTGGCTTTCTTCCCTTTCATCTTTTTTATTGTACAGCAATCTTTCTCCTCAAACCTACCACCTCTCTCTTTTCTTTCCTTCTTACTTTCTCTTCCCCCCCCTCTTCTTCTCCTCCCTACTTCCTCTTCCTTTCTCCTTCTCCACCTCTCTTCCTCCCTCTCTTACCCTCACTCCTACTCTAATTTTCCTTCCCTTCCTACATCCCTCTCTATTGCTGTATCCTTTTATGCATATGGACTACTCAGAGGGCTGAAAAAGTTATTATTATTATTTTTTAAAAATTTGATTTATATGCCGCCCTTCTCCGGAGACTCTGGGCGGCTTACAATGCGTTAAGTAATAGCCTTCATACTTTTGTATATTTATACAAAGTCAGTTTATTGCCCCCACAAACTGGGTCCTCAATTTACCTACCTTAGAAAGGATGGAAGGCTGAGTCAACCTTGACTGGTCCTCGCACTTTTGACCAGTCCTCGAACTTACGACTGTCCTCACATTTTACGTTTTTGCCCTATCTTGTCACCATGGTGAAGAGAAGCAGTTGTGAAATGAGTGACACGGTTGTTAAGAATGCTACAATGGGCATAAATGATGACCAGTCATAAGTGCGAAGACCAGTCAAAAGTGCGAGGACCTGTCAGAAATGACTTTTTTCAGCCCTCTGGGTAATCCTTTTGTGCATATGGACTACTCAGAGGGCTGAAAAAGTTATTTTTCACTGGTCCTCGCACTTTTGACCAGTCCTCAAACTTACGACTGTCCTCACATTTTACGTTTTTTGCCCTATCTTCAGAACCTCCAGAAGCTCCCATAAGTGAAGAGGAAGAAGAGGAGGAGCCTCTTCTCGATGCACGGGCGCGCATCGTGCATTTTGGATCCACTCCTCCAAAAGGCAGGAGTGGCTCCTCAGGAGGAGATCTCCTTGAGAGTAAGGCTTGGGGCTAATTGGCCACTCCCTTAGCCTATTTAAGGAGGAATGCCGACTGAAGCAAATTGTAGGGAACAACTTTAGTTCACTCTCCTTTGCATCTGGATTCTCTGCAAATTGCTTCTGGGCTTTCTGCCAACCTTAGTAAGATTGTGATTACTTTATCTTTGGTTTCTTGTAGGCTGTTAAGAAAGTTAATTAACAGCCTTCGTTTGGACAAGACTGAGTTATTTTAGTAAATTTAAGTTGTGTACAGACTTTGCGTGTGCTGTGTTCTTTGGGGTCCCTAGCTGGGGCAGAACAAAAGGGGGGGGAGATGTTGGCAACCATCCCATTCAAGATTTAGAAAGGAACAAAAGGAAATTGTAAAAGCGCTGTTTTTTTTTAATTTTTTTTGCAAGGTGAAGAGTTAGTTGCAATTGGAGTGCGAGCATCCGGCGCTTCTGAGCATGTGCAAAGCAGCCGTGATGACATCTGGGCGGGTGGGCGGAGCCTCCCGCCTCTTCTGCTACCACTGAGCCGAACCCATTTTAACGCGTGGCTGCGCAGCGTCTGTGTCTCTGCGTCTCCTGAACCCCGCTTTTGAAAGTCACAGGAGAGACCCCTCCCCCTCCCCAAAGACCCTCCCTCTCCCTTACCGCCTCTTGCTGGGAATGAAGCCGAGCTCGTCACTGTCGCCATCCGGATGGACGCGCCGCGCCTGCCACCATTCCTCGTCGGAAGCGTCGATGACGTGAAGGACGTCGCCAAAATGGAAACTCAGAGCTTGGCTCAAGAAGCCACAATCCTTGGTCTTGTCGTAGTCGAAGAGAGCCCTGTTTGATAAGGGGAGGGGGGGTGTTTATTGGGGGTGGGTGGGCGCACAGACAAGAAGGCCAAAAGATCACGGACTGAGTTAAGGTCTGCCTTGAAGTTTCTCCTTCCTTTGGAGTCGTTCCAAGGCTGAGATGGCTGGCATATCAATTTAATAAATACGTTTACAATGTTTTTTTTTTTTAATTACCATTTCTCTTTTTGAAAGCCAGTTTGGTCTAGTGGTGAAGACACCAGGCTAGACACCAGGAGGTGGTGAGTTCTAGTTCTTTGTTAGGCATGAAAGACAGGTGGGTTACCTTGGGCCACACATCAGGAAATGGAAAATTATAGTCTCACCTTAAGCGTGAAAGCTACCTGGTGTCTTTGGGCCAATCACCAGGAGACGGTGAGTTCTAGTCCTGCCTGACACATGAAAGCTGGTTGGGTGACTTTGGACCAATCACCAGGAGACGGTGAGTTCTAGTCCCGCCTGAGATACGAAAGCTAGTTAGGTGACTTTGGACCAATCACCAGGAGATGGTGAGTTCTAGTCCTGCCTGACACATGAAAGCCGGTTGGGTGACTTTGGGCCAATCACCAGGAGACGGTGAGTTCTAGTCCTGCCTGAGATGTGAAAGCTGGCTGGTGACTTTGGGCCAATCACCAGGAGACGGTGAGTTCTAGTACCGCCTGAGACGTGAAAGCTGGCTGGTGACTTTGGGCCAATCACCAGGAGACGGTGAGTTCTAGTCCCACCCTGAGATACGAAAGCTAGTTAGGTGACTTTGGGCCAATCACCAGGAGACGGTGAGTTCTAGTCCCACCTGAGATACGAAAGCTAGTTAGGTGACTTTGGGCCAATCACCAGGAGACGGTGAGTTCTAGTCCCACCTGAGATACGAAAGCTAGTTAGGTGACTTTGGGCCAATCACCAGGAGACGGTGAGTTCTAGTCCCACCATGAGATACGAAAGCTAGTTAGGTGACTTTGGGCCAATCACCAGGAGACGGTGAGTTCTAGTCCCACCTGAGATACGAAAGCTGGTTAGGTGACTTTGGGCCAATCACCAGGAGACGGTGAGTTCTAGTCCCACCTGAGATACGAAAGCTAGTTAGGTGACTTTCGACCAATCACCAGGAGATGGTGAGTTCTAGTCCCACCTGAGATACGAAAGCTAGTTAGGTGACTTTGGGCCAATCACCAGGAGACGGTGAGTTCTAGTCCCACCTGAGATACGAAAGCTGGTTAGGTGACTTTGGGCCAATCACCAGGAGACGGTGAGTTCTAGTCCCGCCTTAGGCATGAAAACAGTTTGGGTCCCTCTCGTTCAGCCCAACCACCTTACAGAGTTGTTGTTGTGAAGGAGGAACAAGGAGGAGGAAGGTCTGTTAGATATGCTCACTGGCTTGAGTTATTTGTAAATTAAAAAAAAAAAAGAAATACAACACCATAAAAATAATAAAATAATAAAAAAACAATAAAATAAAATTAAGATAAATTTTAAATAAAATAAATAAAATAATCAATAAACTACAATAATAAGCTAAACTAAACTAAAGTATAAACTAAACTAAAATAACAAGTAAACTAAACTAAGCTAAAGAAAAAATAAAATAAAAAAATAAAAAATAACTAAACTAAACTAAAACTTAAAATAAATTGAAAATAACATTTAAAAAAATGAAATGAAATGAAATAATAATAAAATAAAAATAAAATAAAATAAAATAAATAAAATAAAATAAAATAAAATAAAATAAAATAAAATAAAATAAAATAAAATAAAATATTACTGGGGATGGGGAAACAGCAGCCTCCCAGAAAGCGTTGGACTTCGAGACCCATAATCCCCGCCAGCCCAGTCCAGAGGAAACTGGAGGCCGACATATCTGCAAGACGCTGGGTTTGAGGATGTTGAAATGAAGGGAACTTAATTTCTGACATTCCAAGTTCAGAATCTTTTAAAGCTCCCATGAAAATAAAATACCTTCCTGGAGACGGGGAAATATATTCATTTCCACCCCCCTTATTACTAGAGTTGAGTGTTTGGGGGGGTAGGAAAGCAGCCATTTCTTCAGGGACCATTGGAAGTTACAACTGCACCACACGAAACGTTGACCTGCGACCTGTCCTCCCACTTATGACCGTCGCCTAGTCACGTGATCAAAATTTGGGTGCTTAGCAAATGGCACCTATTCACAATGGTTGCAGCCTCCTGGGTGGGGGTCCCTTTGGCGGCCTTCTGACAAGCAACGTCAAGGGGGGGGCAGCCGGATTCATTTAACGACCGCATGTTTCACTTAACAACTGCAGTGACTTGCGGAACAACCCATGATAAAAAAGGATCGTAAAATCGACACTTTTCATTGCTTAGCAATGAAAAATTCTGACCTCCCCCCCACATTGTGGTCATAAGTCGAGGACTACCTGTAGACCGGATATTTTCTCTAGCCGTTCCCCTCCCTTCATCTCAGCAGGTTCCAACCAATCTTGGCCAACCTCAAAAACTAACCAGGATGAAAGGATGAAACACCACCAGGAAAGCTCACAGGTTATTATTATTTGAAAAAATAACACTGTTACCACCCTATACCCCTGGACTCAGAGATGGGGGGGGTCCTAAGGGCTGGGGGCTCACCGGATGTAGAAGCCCCTCTTGGGGTTACTCCGAAGCGACGCGGTTCCTGAACCCAAACTGCTATTCATCAGCTGTTCCCGGAGATCGTGGATCTTGGCCTCAAAGCGGCTATATTCTAAAGGGGGAGAGATCGGAGAACGGGGGTGGGTGGAGTGAGTGGGTGATGCTGGATCCTCGAATCATGGAGCTGTAGAATTGAAATGTCCCCAAAGATCATAGTCTAGTTCTTCTCAACCTGGGAATTTTAAGAGGTGAGGACTTCAACTCGCAGAATTCAACCTTGGGAACTTTTAAGAGGTGAGGACTTCAACTTGCAGAATTCAATCTTGGGAACTTTTAAGAGGTGAGGACTTCAACTCCCAGAATTCAACCTTGGGAACTTTTAAGAGGTGAGGACTTCAACTCCCAGAATTCAACCTTGGGAACTTTTAAGAGGTGAGGACTTCAACTCCAGAATTCAACCTTGGGAACTTTAAGAGGTGAGGACTTCAACTCCCAGAATTCAACCTTGGGAACTTTTAGAGGTGAGGACTTCAACTCCCAGAATTCAACCTTGGGAACTTTTAAGAGGTGAGGACTTCAACTCCAGAATTCAACCTTGGGAACTTTAAGAGGTGAGGACTTCAACTCCCAGAATTCAACCTTGGGAACTTTTAAGAGGTGAGGACTTCAACTCCCAGAATTCAACCTTGGGAACTTTTAAGAGGTGAGGACTTTAACTCCAGAATTCAACCTTGGGAACTTTTAAGAGGTGAGGACTTCAACTCACAGAATTCAACCTGGGAACTTTTAAGAGGTGAGGACTTCAACTTGCAGAATTCAAACTTGGAAACTTTTAAGAGGTGAGGACTTCAACTCCCAGAATTCAACCTTGGGAATTTTTAAGAGGTGAGGACTTTAACTCCCAGAATTCAATCTTTTAAGAGGTGAGGACTTCAACTCCCAGAATTCAACCTTGGGAACTTAAGAGGTGAGGACTTCAACTCCCAGAATTCAACTTTGGGAACTTTAAGAGGTGAGGACTTTAACTCCCAGAATTCAACCTTGGGAACTTTTAAGAGGTGAGACTTTAACTCGCAGAATTCAAACCTCCCCAACCCCAATCTTCCTCCCTCAGGAGTCCTAACAAAATTGGGGAGGGGGAGATTTAAAAAACCTAAAAATTCTCCCCACATTTTTACCCCAATCGACCTCAGTCATACAGTCATAGCTAACCAGGATGAAAGGATCTGACGCCACCAGGAAAGTTTTTCCAGGTTGAGGAGTTCATTCCCCCCCTCTCCGTCTCCCCGTGTGTCCTATGTGGGTCTCTCTCCCCCCCCCACAAATAACTCTTACCATCTGGCTTATACTGGGCGATAATGGTGACCGTCTGGCCGGCGTTTTTCAGAGCGATGGCGGCTTGTTCGTGGGTAGCGTTCCTGAGATCCACGCCGTTGACCTGTCGGGAGAGGTTAATAACCAATCAGAATAGAGCGGGAAGGGACCTTGGAGGTCTTCTAGTCCAGCCCCCTGTTCAAGCAGGAGAATCTGCCTACACCATTTGAGACAAGTGGCTGTTCGGTCTCTTCTTAAAAGCCTCCAGTGATGAAGCAACCCACAACTTCTGGTGGCAAGGAGTTCCGCTGGCTAATTGTCCTCCCTGTTAGGAAGTTTCTCCTTAATTCCAGGTTGCTTCTCTCCTTGATGAGTTTCCATCTGTTGCTTCTTGTCCTGCCTTCAGGGGCTTTGGAGAATAGGTGGAAAACCCCCCCCCCCCGCCCTCTTCTTTGGGGCAGCCCCTCAAATACTGAAATGCTGCTATCATATCACCCCTAATTCTTCTTTTCTCTCGACTGGCCAAACTCAAATCCTCCAACTGTTCTTCCTACGTTTTAGTCTCCAGGCCTTTAATCATCTTAGGCTGCTCTTCTCTGCACTTTTTTCCAAAGTCTCAACCTCTTTTTTGTAACGTGGGGACCAAAACTGGATGCAAAATATTTCAGGTGTGGCCTTACTAAGGATTTACAAAGTGGTGCTAATCCTTCACCTGAGTTTGAATCTGTGCCTCTGTTTATACAACCAAGGATCGCATTAGCTTTTTTTTTTGGCTGCTGCCGCACACGGCTGCTTATAATAAGCAGCAATAATAAATATTATATATATTAAGTAGTACAATAAGCAGTATAATAAACGTAATAATTATCTATATTATAAGCAGTACAATAAGCAGCATAATAAATAACAGTATATTATAATATAATAAGCAGTATAATAAGGAGAATAATAAACAGCAGTACAATAAATATTATCTATAGTATAATAAGCAGTATAAGCACTTCAATAAATATTGTAATAAATATTATAATAAGCAGTATAAGGAGTATAATTAGCAGTATAATAAATATATAAATGTTATATATATTAGAATAGAATAGAATAGATTAGAACAGAAAATATGGAATGGAATGGAATGGAATGGAATGGAATGGAATGGAATAGAATAGAATAGAATAGAATAGAATAGAATAGAATAGAATAGAATAGAATAGAATAGAATAGAATAGAATAGAATAACAGAGATGGGAGGGATCTTGGAGGTCTTCTAGTCCAACCCCCTGCTTAGGCAGGAAACCCTCTACCATTTAATATATTGTGTGTGTGTGTGTGTGTGTGTGTGTGTGTATGTGTATGTGTGTGTGTGTGTGTGTAGGTCTTTGGTTATTCGGGTTTTCTCCCGCGTAAAATTGGAAGTGTCTTGGCGACGTTTCGACAAAGTCTCATTCGTCATCTTCAGGCTGGTGTTTTCGGCTTCGTGCTTCTAGGAGCAATGTGTGATCGCAGCTGTTTCTTCCTTTTAACTGCCAGTGAACTGATTGGGTGGGAGCTTGGCTGTGTTCTGATTGGGTGGAGGTGTGCTCTGATTGGTTGGGGGCTTGGCTGTGCTCTGATTAGATGGAGGTGTGTTCTGTTTGGGTGGGGGCTCGGTTGTGCTCGGGTTAGTCTGAGTTGCAGGGGGATTTGAGCTGGTGAGCTGCGTTGCTGTTGTTTGGCTTCGCGTTCGTGGTCGTGCCACATCTTCATGGTGGGTGTCAGTTTGCTTCATGTATGGATTGGAGGGGTTTAAAGTGGCTAATGATACAGCTGTGGTCTGGCTTCTGGTTTGTGGTCGTGCCTCATCATCGGTGTGGATTTGATGAGGCACAACCATAAACCAGAAGCCAGACCACAGCTGCATCAACGCAGCTCACCAGCTCAAATCCCCCTGCAACTAACAGCTAGCCATACCCTTACTTGTTCGAACTTGGGCTGCCTGCATGTTAGGCAGTTGTATTAACCTCTGAGCCACAAGTTCTTCTCCCTTCATCAGCTTGAGCCAGGGGAGAGATTATATACACATTATAATAATTATATATATTATAATAATCAGTATAATAAACCGAATATGCAGCCTAAAGCCCATTATACTGCTTCTCGGTTTATTCTGGTTTAACCCCCCCACCCAATCCACTGGGGTGCGGGAAGGTCTTTCTTACTGAGAGAATCTGGTCCCCTTTCCGAAGTTCCCCGCTGAGGTCAGCTGGTCCTCCGGCCAGGATGAAGGAGATGAAAATGCCCTCGCCGTCTTCGCCGCCCACAATGTTGAACCCCAGCCCTGTCGACCCACGGTGGATCACGATGCGGCGCGGTTCCCTAGAGAGAGGGAAGAAAGGAGGGGGTGTGAAACGGAAGGGTCCCGTGTGGTCATCTGGTCCAACCCCGCTCCCTGCGCTGGCTGGGGTACTGTGGGAGTTGAAGTCCACCCCATCTTCAAGCGGCCGAGTTTGAAATGGCTTCAATCCGATTCCTTCCTTGGCCTTCCTTCCTAACTCGTTCAGATAATTAAATTTGTACTCGGATCTCCGCTTGGTCTCTTTTTCCAGACTAAGCAAACCCAAATCCTTTCCATCGTCCTCTGCAAGGTCCAGGCATCTTGGCAGCCCTCTGGACCAGGGGTCTCCAACCTTGGCAACTTTAAGACTTGTAGACTTCAACTCCCAGAAGGACCCTCTATAGTCCTTGACTTGCAACCGTTCCTTTTAGGGACCATTTGAAGTCACGACAGCACTGAAAAAAAGTGGACCAATGACCGTTTTTCGCACTTACAACCGTTGCAGCGTCCTCGTGGTCATGTGATCAAAATTCAGATGCTTGGCAACGACCCATATTTATGACGGTTGGAGTGTCCCAGGGGTCGTGCGATCCCCGTTTGCGACTTTCTGACAATGGGGAAGCCAGATTCGCTTAACAACCGTCTTACTCAGCAGTGATTCACTTAACAACCATGACAAGCGAGGCCATAAAATAGGGTCAAAGCTCATTTAACAACTGTCCCACTTAGCAACATCAATTTTGGGTTCCACTGTGGCCAAGATGAGCCGTTTGCTGTCCTTGGTGCTGAATCCACAATTCCGTTCAGCACCAAGGACAGCGGATGGCTCTGCCGAGGCTCTGTGGCAGGTGTGGGGAGGCCACACCCCCAGGAGGCGGAGCCTAGCACTTACCTGGGAATATCTTCCTCCCCCATCAGTTCTTTTGGGATGGGGGAGTACCTCCGAGGAGAGGTGGGGGTCATGGCTTGCGGGTAGTCGGAACCCAGGTAACTCTGACCGATTTCGTTGTCTAGGTGATGGGAATAAGCTAATAATAAAGAAGAAGGAGGATTTATTGAATTTATATGCCACCCGGCGGCCAAATAAATATGCCAAAAAGCAAAAGGGAAGGAAGCACAGTTAAGAAAAAGGGGAGGTATCATTTTGCAGAGACAAATATCTTTAATTACGAATGTGCTAAGGTCTAATAAATGCATTTCTTACGTGTTAGCGGGCAGAAATATGTTTTTAAAAAGATCATTGAAGATCATTAAATATACAGGTCTTTATCACACAGCCAGATATTTTTTTTAAAAAAAAATCCCCCATTTTTGCAAGTACAATGAGTTGAGTTGGGTGTCCTGTGGAGCAGCCATGGTTATTCTCAAGCTCATAGTTGACTAGAGATACCTCCGTTATGAGGTTCTCTAAGAGGGGGGAAAGTGGAGATATCATGAGGACGGGGCGGGGAGCTCTTTTCAGATTAACAGAGTCGGAAGGGACCTTAGAGGTCATCTAGTCCAACCCCCTGTCCAAGCAGGAGACCCTACACCATTTCTGACAGATGGCAGTCTAGTCTCTTCTTGAAAGCTTCCAGTGACGAAGCTCCCACAACCTCTGAAGGCAACTTCTGGTCCATGGGTTGAATGCTCTCACTGTCAGAAAATTCCTCCTTATTTCCAGGTTGAATCTCTCCTTGGTCAGTTTCCATCCATTGTTCCTTGTCTGGCCTTTGGAAAATAGCTTGACCCCCTTCCTCCACTCTGGGGCAGCCCCTCAAATATTGGAAGGCTGCTATCCTGTCTCCCCTGGTCCTTCTCTTCACTAGACCAGCCATGCCCAGTTCCTGCAACCGTTCATCATATGTTTTATCCTCCAGTCCCCCTCGTCTTTTTTCTTACTCTTCTCTGCACTCTTTCTAGAGTCTCCACATCTTTTTTTATAGTGTGGTGACCAAAACTGGATGCAGGATTCTAGGTGTGGCCTTACTAAGGCTTTATAGAGTGGTATTAGGACCTCCCTTGATCTTGATTGCATCCGTCTGTTAATGCAATTTAGGATTGAGTTGGCTTTTTTGGCTGCCGCTGCACACTGTTGGCTCCTATTCAGCTGGCTGTCCACTAGGACTCCAAGATCCCTCTCCCAGTCACTGCTATTAAGCCTGGTTAATTATTAAGCTATTAAGCCACTCACAGGAAGTGAGGTCAGGGGGGGCATAAGAGTCATTCAAGTCGAGGGTGGTGGGCTTGGCCACCTTCAGGTACACAACATCAAAGGTATTCTTCAGAGCTGCCACCGCATCTTCGTGCATGACATCCTCCAGACTCACATTGTTTACCTGGAGGGAGGAGAAGAAAAGGCAGTTGGTCGACGGACTCACCTGTGGCATCGGGTGAAGCCACACAGCATCCTGCCCAATCCATCTTCTTCCTGGCTAGTTACAAACTGAGTATCTGCTTAGCTCCGTGTTTCTCAACCATGGCAACTTTAAGAGGTGTCGGCTTCAACTCCCAGAATTCCCCAGCCAGCATGGGGAATTACATATCTGAGATGAAGGGAGATCTAATCCCACACTCGCTGAAGAATCCCCCCTTGTGGAAAGTTGTGACGTTTCCCCCCACCTATGCCCACAGGAAGAAGGAGCCAATCACCTCACACATATCATGACTTAAATGCACTAATTCATGAGTTCGGTTGAGTTGGGCTAGGTTAGGTTGAGTTCGGTTGAGTTGAGTAAGGTTAAATTAGGTTGAGTTGAGTAGTGTTGAAGAGTTGGGTTGAGTTGAGTTGGGTTGGCTTAGATTAACTTCAATTGAGTTGGGATGAGTTGAGTTGGGTTAGGTAAGGTAAGGTTAAATTGGGTTGAGTTGAATTGTTGGGTTGAGTTAGGTTGAGTAGAGTTAAAGAGTTGGGATGGGTTGAGTTGGGTTAGGTAAGGTAAGGATAAATTGGGTTGAGTTGAATTGTTGGGTTGGGTAAGGTTAAGTTAGGTTGAGTAGAGTTAAAGAATTGGGATGGGTTGAGTTGGGTTAGGTAAGGTAAGAATAAATTGGGTTGAGTTGTATTGTTGGGTTGGGTAAGGTTAAGTTAGGTTGAGTAGAGTTAAAGAGTTGGGATGGGTTGAGTTGGATTGAGTTTAGATTAATTTCAACTGAGTTGGGATGAGTTGAGTTGGGTTTGGTAAGATTAAATTGGGTTGAGTTGGGTAAGGTTAAATTAGGTTGAGTTGAACTGAGTTGAATTGGGTTGGGTAAAGGTTAAATTAAGCTGACTTGAATTGGGTTGGGTTAAGTAAGGTTAAATTAAGCTGAGTTAAGTAATTAGGTTGAGTTGAGTAGGGTTGGATTAAGTCAACTTGAATTGAGTTGGGTTGAGTAGAGTTGAACTGAACTGAATTGAAGACATCTGAAGCATTATGACTAATTTGGCCAAATCTCTGTTCTATCCCCCATTTTAATCTCGACTGAAATTATCTATTTTTTTTAGCTATCTTTAAATTTAACTTTGGGGGGAAATTACGTTCTTGTAAGACAGCTCCCCCACCCTGGTTCTTGGGCAGCCCACCACAGCCCACCCCACCCCCGGCCTTACCGCTAGGATTTTGTCCCCGATCTGCAGCCGCCCGTCCTTGTGGGCTGCCCCGCCCTCAATGATTTTGGTGACGTAGATACTGTTGTCCCCGGGAATATGCTGGTTGCCAACACCGCCTGCAATGCTGAAGCCCAGCCCTGTGGAGGAAGACCAGAGAAGGAAGTTGGTGAGGCGGTCACCGTCTCAGTGAGCGACAGAGAAGGGTAGAGAGCGGGGTGCACGCCAGGTGAAAACATCTGGAGGGAACATTTTCATAGGGCTGAATTTATTTTTCACAATTTTAAGAAGGTCTTAGATTTGGAAGATGATCTCTAAGGTCATCTAGTCCAACCTCCCTGGCCCACGCCAGGATCCTCTGCATGGCATGAGCATCTGGATAACTGGAAGGCCTCCAGACAAGGAGAATGTTGACCTTTCAGAGGCTGCCAAAAAGAGAGCAGGGATGCAACAGCCCTTCCTCTGTGCCCAGCACCTAGCATTTAAAGATACACTGAGCCGGTCACTGGAGGTTCCATTAGCCTTGCTAGGGGTGGTGGGGTGGAGAAGATCTTTTTTCCTTGAGGATACCATTCTTCCCTAATCAGATATAAATTGCCTACTAAGGGCAGTGCTTGGCAACCTTGGCAACTTCAAGATGGGTGGCCCTCAGCTCCCAGAATTCCCTAGCACTAATACATTCCTTTTGCCATGTATACCCATTGTGGCCTGCATACTCTTTTGTAATCCCTTTCTCTTCAATCTCTCTCCTTTAGGGGAAAGGAGAAAAGGCATGAGAAACATTGATTTAGGGTAATGTGGCTTCACCCAATTGGGAACTGGGGTTCATCGAAGCAACAGAGCCCCTAAAGTGAAGGAATATGAGGTCCCCGGGAAGTCCTGGGGGGGGGGGGGGGGGGGGGGGGCTCACCTTTAGGGCCTTTGATCAGCTTAATCTCGATCACCTTCTCCGCCAGCGGTTTCCTGCGCATGACGTAGAGCCGCACGATGGAGCCGGCCTCCTTCAGCGCCTCCACCGCCGTGCTGTGGGTCACCTCCCGTACGTCCACATCGTTCACGAAGAGGATACTGTCGTTCACTCTGTCCAGGGGAGGAAAAATAATAATAATAATAATAATTTTATAATAATAATAATTTTATTATTATTAATCACACACACACAGCCAAAAAAATCAGAATTACACATCACCCAGAGTCATTCGGTGGAATCGAGCGGCTAAAGAAAGGCACGAATAAAATAAATGCAGACGGTCCTTGTTTAGTGACCGTTTTTCACAATTACCACCATTGCCAAATCTCCACGGTGATCCCCTTTTGCGACCTTCCAGCCAGTGAAGTCCATGGGGGGGGAGGCAGACTCACTTAACGACCGTGTTGCAACTGCAGGGATTCTCTTAATAACGGTGGCAAGAAATGTCATTAAATGGGAGAAAGAACTCACTTAACAACTGTCTCGCTTAACAGCGGAAACTTGGGGCTCCATTGTGATCATAAATCGAGGACTACATAAATTTTAAAAGGGGAAGAGGTGGACCATGGCTATTTTAGCCCACTGCCTTCCAGAAGAATCAGATGCAAGCTTACAGGTAGTCCTCAACTTATAACCATTTGTTATAAGCTTGTTTAGTGACCATTCGAAGTTACGATGGCACTGAAAAAAAGTGATTTAGGACTGCTTCTCCCACTTACGACCATGGTCACAGGATCAAAATGGGGCAAAATTCACATAACGTCTCGCTTAGCAACCGAACTTTGGGGCTCAAGACTCAGCTGCCCTGAGTCTTCGGAGAGGGGCGGCATATAAATTGAATTAATTAAATTAAATTAAATTGTGGTTGTAAGTGGAGGACTACCTGTATGGGGTGTCTGTCTTGGTTTTCAAGCCTAACAGGTGACAACTTTAGCCTGTCTGGGGGGGGGGAGGAATGCTCAGCAGGGTTAGAGGGATGGTAAATGCTGGGATGGGAGACCACCAGGAGAGCCAGGTTTCCAGGTTGCTCTGAAAACTGAGCCAAGCAAGAAGACGAAGCCATCTCCGCAGGGGCTGCTCAGAGACGCTAATGCAGCCAGGATTCTCCCCTCCCCGACACTCACCGTAATCGGCCATCTTGAGCGGCTGCCCCTCCGGGGATGATTTTGGTGATGAAGATACTGGGGTCATCCCCAACATGAGGATTGTCGGTGCCCCCGGCGATGCTGAAGCCCAGCCCGGAGTTGCCCTGCGAGAGAGTAAAGTCTCAATGCAAAGGAACCGATACTATTTGCAACGTCCCATCGAGGAAACTAGGACTGGTTGAATGCGATGGTTGGATCGCTCGACGTGAGGCCGAGTTTCCCACCGAGCAGAACCGAAAACAGCACCGACCTAGTCTAACATAGTGTTTCTCAACCTTTAAGGTAGGTGGACCCCAACTCCCAGAATCCCCTAGTCAGCAGGGCATCCTTAAGACCGGTGGACTTCAACTCCCAGAATTCCCCAGCCAGCGGTATAAACACTTCACATGATATGCATCCCCATTGCAGTTTGCTTACTCTCTTCTAATCCCTTCCTCTGCAATCTCTCTACTCTAGGAGGTAGGAGGAAAAAAATAAGCACGGGAATTCTGTGAGTTGGAAGTCCACAAATCTTCAAGTTGTAAGGTTGTGAAACAGTGACCTTGTCCCCCCCCTCATCTTACACAGACACACAAACACACAAAATTACCCTCTCTAGAGTGATCTCTTCATATTCCATCTCGCCTTCGGTTCCATTTACCTGGGGGGGGAAAAGGAAAGATGCGCAGTGAGAGGTTGGCGGGAGCAGGTTGGTTTACCGATGGAAGAGGAAAACTCTTTCGGAAGAACCTTTGGGGGGTCGTAGGGAGAGGAGGACGTGGCGGTTGAGGGGGCATGCAAGGACGGGGTGGGGGGGCTGGCCGGAGGGACCCGGAGAGGTGACAAAAGTGGACCTCCGTGGCAAACTCACATAAGCTGGTGCTTCTAAAGTGTCGGTGTTGACAATGACGGGTGGAGAATTGGCCTGGAGACAGACAAAGAGACAGAGAAAAAGAGAGGAGGGGGCGAAATTATACGGCTGCCCAGCCTCGAGGCCACATCGCCTAATCTCTTACACTGCAAGAGCCAGGGAGACCCCAACCCAGGGTGCTTTCGTTTTTTGCCACCCACTTACCCCTCATGCATGCACCTCCAGGCCTCCCCCACCCCCCGAAATCCTCAAATCCCCATTCCCCCTTCCGTCCACCCAGCTGCTTTGCCAAAAAATCCACGCGATGCAAAAACCGGGGTCTCCATATCAAAAGGAAAAAGAGATAAATAAATACAAGAAGCCAAATATTGCGCCGCGGGTTGCCGAGCGGGGTGGTGGGGGGGTCTCAAAACGTGGGTACCCTGAATATTTGGTGGGGTTGGGTCCCCCGATTGAGGGAAGGGAGGAAGACGGGGCAAAGGGGAAGGGATGAGATGGCCCAAGGGAACTCCGAGCGTATACTGTATCTTGAAGATGCTCAGCTGGGACGCCCAAGAGGTGACTTACTGCCGGGTAGCTGGGTGTGTATGTGTGGGGTTTTGTGTGTGTGTGTGTGTGTATGCCAAGCTGTTTGGTCTGGAATCCAAGTGGGCTGAAGTCCCGCTTGGCTCCCCACCCACCCACTCACCTCTCCCCCCCCCTCTTCCATTTTGCATGCTTTCGCTCTTTATTTCTCCCACCTCCAGTGGCCGCTGACAACAGTCGCCATGGCAACACCATGACAACAGCATCTCCCTCCGGGGATGCAAACGAAGGTCCTCAGGTAGGAGGGGCTCACACCAGCCTCCCTCCACCCTAACCTGGACTATGGGGTTAGGGGAGGGGGCTATTTTATATGAAAGTGGGGGGCAACCCCACTCTCTCACGCACACGCACAGGCCAAAACGACCCTCCCACTTGTCGGTGGGCAGTGAAGGATGTCAACCCCAGCGTTCAATACCCAAACTCTCTTTGGGGTGTGTTTGGGCTACAATACCCATCACTCCCAACCGGGACGGATGAACGTTGGAATCCAATGTCCTGGGGGCAGGGAAAGGCTGGAGGGGGGTTGCAGAGGTTTGGAAATGGCCAATTTGGAATCCTCGGGGAGGGGAGGATGCTCCGGACGATGCCACAAACCGTGGTTTTTTTCTCGTTGGGGCGGCGACGTCAACGAAGCCATGATGGCATCAAGGCTTGTACCCGGTGCGGTTATTATGGGTGAGGAATTGACAGGTTGGACAGCACCCAGGATAGCAACGGTTCGGTCCGATGGTTAAGGCACCAGGCTAGAAACCAGGAGATGGTGAGTTCTAGTTCTGCGTTAGGCATGAACGCCAACTGGGTGACTTTGGGCCAATCAGCAGGAGACTGGGAGTTCTAGTTCTGCGTTAGGCATGGAAGCCATCTGGGTGACGTTGGGCCAATCACCAGGAGACTGGGAGTTCTAGTTCTGCATTAGGCATGGAAGCCATCTGGGTGACTTTGGGCCAATTATCAGGAGACTGGGAGTTCTAGTTCTGCGTTAGGCATGAACGCCAACTGGGTGACATTGGGCCAATCAGCAGGAGACTGGGAGTTCTAGTTCTGCGTTAGGCATGAATGCCAGCTGGGTGAGATTGGGCTAATCAGCAGGAGACTGGGAGTTCTAGTCCCGCCTTAGGCATGGAAGCCGGCTTGGTGACTTTGGGCCAATCACCAGGAGACTGGGAGTTCTAGTTCTGCGTTAGGCATGAACGCCAACTGGGTGACTTTGGGCCGATTATCAGGAGACTGGGAGTTCTAGTTCTGCGTTAGGCATGGAAGCCATCTGGGTGACTTTGGGCCAATCAGCAGGAGACTGGGAGTTCTAGTTCTGCATTAGGCATGAAAGCCATCTGGGTGACTTTGAGCCAGTCTCTCTCTCTCTCTCTTTGGCCAACCCACCTCACAGGGTTTGGAGGAAGAATAGAAGGAAGAAAGAGCATTAAGTATATTTGTTGCCTTGCATTACTGATAAAATAATAAAAAAATGTGATTTAAAAAGTCTAAAAACAAATCAAAAGTAAAAAAAAATTAAAAAAAACAACCACGAACCAGACTTTCTCCTTTTTAACAGCTGTTAAAACCCCAAGACCCCCCCCCCCCAATATTTGGGGAGACCTGCTCAGCCCCTATTCCCCCTCTACAAGGATTGCAGTTCCCAGGATTCCCCGCCATCGCAGCGCAAAGAATTCTGGGACTTGGAGTCCCTCCTCCAAGGATGAAAGACCGGAAAAAAATTTTTTAGGAAGGGAACAGACCCTCCCACCCACCCACCCACCTCTTCCCGAGTTTCCCTTTCTTCCCCTAGCGAGCCCCACCCCTCATTCCCACTCTCTCTTCCCCATTCTAGAGTCCTTCTGTTTCACCAGGGGGACCTCAGAGGCCATCTATCCCAGCCCCGAGCTCAAGATAGGATCCACCGCAGTAACGTCTCTTTCCCCAGTTCAAATGGCCCACCTCCCACATTTTTCTCCTTTATACCCCCCCCCCCCCGGGATAAGAACCCGGCCCGGGTTCAACCCCTGCCTTCGGGGGGGGGGGGACGGGACACCGAGAAGCCCACCCACCCAGATTTCAGGGTGAGGAGAACATCCACCTTTGAGCTAAATGGGCCCCGAATCCCTGAAGGGCTTTTTCAGAGACTTGGATTGTAGATCCCCCTCCCCTTGGAACCTCTCACCACCCCCAGCCCCTTTTAAACTGGACCCCAAAGGGGGCAATCTGACCAGGGTAGAGCATAGGGGGACCCTTCCCCTAAAACTTCCACGTTTGACCAGGCCTGCCTGCTCGGCCCATTTTAAGGGTTTGAGCCCCCCGCCTCTCTCTCTCTCTCTCTGTCTCTCTCTGCTCCCAGACCCCCCAAAAAGTACAATCGCGCCCCCCCCCGGAATATGCCAATATGAGATGGGACGGAGAATGCAACTGTCCCATTCCAGAAGCAACGACTACAGCTCCTATCATTCCCTGCCACATCTCATCCACCAAACTCTCAAGGAACGCTTCTGCTGCGGATCTTCCCCCTCCCTTGATCCTTACCCCCCCAGACCCCTTCTGCGCCCCCCCAAAGCTGGACAGATCCTCATTCCCCCCCACAGACCCCTTCCTCCGATCCTCGTGCCCCCCGAACCCGTTCTGCGCCCCCCTCCCCACAAAACTGGACCTTTTTCATTCCCTCTCCTTCTCTTGTTCGAGAAATAATTCCAAATGGAACTGAAAGCAAAAACAGCTGCTGAGGGAATAGGGGATAGGGATGGGAGACCACCAGGAAATGCCAAGGAAAGGGGGCGGGGCTATTATGGGAATTTATTATTATTATATTTTGAAGGAATCCAGAAATGATGCCAAACGTAATTTAAACTCTTCCGTTGGTGCCCCCAGCTTTGCAAAACTCCGGCGTGGCCACCCTGGCACCGTCCTAGGGATGGAGGGGAGGGGGGCTGCGGCGTCGGACAGACCCCAAATGCACCTGGAGACCCCATGCAGACGCAGCCCCTTCCCACTAGGGGGGGCTCTTTGCTCTCCCCACTAAGAACGGAGACCGTGCCATGCGTCGGTGCCAGGTTGGCAGCTGTGAGTGGGTACAGGCGTTGTGTAGGAGAGGTTTTGTAGAAAGCACACAAGCAGGCGTGTGTGTGGGGGGTGGGGAGGGCAAGGGATTATCTCAGCGGGGGGCTTTGGGGAAGGGGGGAGCCGAGTGCGAAAGAGAACACAAGACAGAGAGAGAGAGAGAGACTGGAAAAAGGATTTTGACATCTGCAAAGGAGATACAGACCGAGAGGGAGGGGAGGAATTGGGGTGGGTGGGTAGGAGGGGCAGAGTGGGGTGGGACGTCACCCCACCTGGAGGGACCCCAAACTGGGAGGGACTGTGCTGATGCAGCTGCACTCTGCACATGCAGCCTCTGTCTGGACTGGGAAATAATGAAGTTGCAAGACTTCTATATCTGGACTCATCAACGGCAGCGATTCGCTTCACAGATGTGGCGAGAGAGGTTGTACAATGGGGCGGAATAGGAACAACGGAATAAATAAGAGTTGGGAGGGACCTTGTAGGGTCATCTAGTCCAACCCCCCGTCTCGCTTAGCCACAGAAACTTTGGGTTCAGTTGTGGTCGTAAGGCGAGGACTACCTGTACTGTTTGTGATCTAGCGTGCCCCAAAGGGGACTCCGCGTCGACGCGTTGCATTGTGGAGCGCTCGACAACTTTGTGTTATCCAAAATGTGACACTTAAAGGAAAGGAGACCACACGGAGACAACACCTCCTATTCCTTCCCAGGCCGACCATGCAAGCAGACCTCACACAGGACTAGCTGCACCCAATAGTAAATTTGCCCTAAATCCCTCTAACAGGAAAAAAAAAAAAAACTTGGGCGAGTATACTTTTTTACAGTTTAAATGGATTTAAATGATAACCGTATGCAGATTTTCATGCATATCATTAAACCAACCTTGCAGATCCCAAGTAATATTCCAATACGGCAAAACTGGAATATTACTCTATTTTTCTAATTTTTCTTTAAAAAAAGAAAAAGAAAAACAGAACAACTTTTTTTTAAAAAAAAAAATTCCTTCCCTTCAGAAAATCAGAATTTTAATTTCTGTTTAACATTTTTTTGTTGGTTCAGTTTTGTTCTGTCTCTCTTCCATTTTATTTATTTATTTATTTATTTTTATCCCTTTTGGATTTGAACCTTTCGCATCAAATAAAATGAAATTGCGAAACGTAGCTCCGAGATGCGAGATTTCTACTTGCAAAATACGGCCAACGATTTGAGACCGCAATTTTCCAAAAAATCACCGGGGAGATTTTGCTGGCAACAAACCCCCTTTTAAATACTTAAATTCTCTAACTAACCCTAATCCTCTTAGCTTAACAGATCCAGGCCACCCCCCCATCTCTGTTTAATGCTGGTTTGAACCCGGAGCCGATGTGGGGTGCCCCGTTTAAATCTGGGCTTGTGGAATTTGGCACCGCTGAATTAATTCCGGAGTTGCAAATGTGATTCCTTCACCCCACAATCTTGACCCTACCTTCGCTTTTTAGGAAGCCCCCCCCCCTCAAAGGGAGAGTGGGGAACAAGTCAGCAAACCTGGCCAGGCGTGTCCCAGTGGAGTGGCAAAGAAGAGAACGCACTCTGCACATGGTCAGAGGCCCAGGGATATAATATTTTCCCAGGATCTGAAAAGGGAGGGAAGGGAGAGAAGGCTGGGCATCTCAGGATCGGTGGGGGAGGGAGGAAGGGGCAGTTAAGAGGGACATGTGCTGGGGAGGGGGGGAGATGGCTACTCAAGCCCCCCATCTATCCCACCCGTGTTGATTGTGGGTGGAAAGACAGTGCCTCCATTAAAGTATTGTTTTCTGCTGGATTTGTCTGGTGTCAATCCCTGCTTATCTGGAGCACGGAGAACGAATCCTGCAATGGCTTTCTCTCTTTTTCTCTCTCCTGGGGATGGGACTCATTTTTGGCACGGGCCCTCGCACACGCAACCCACTTTCCCTTTCAAAATGAGAACGGGCCTGGGGGAGCACTAAATCTCCTGCCAGGAAAGGGGGGGCCTAACGACGAATTATCTGGAGCGGCTAATGAGGCTGCCTCGATCTGGGTTGGAAACTCCAGGAGTTGCATTTCAGCATTCACACACACACACAACGACACCCAGAGAGAGAGAGAGAAACACACAAATGTCTTCCTCTCCAAAAGCAGGTTTGTCAACCTCAGTGACTTTTAAGAGGGGTGGACTTCAACTCCCAGAATTCCCCAATCGGCTGTGTATTTTTTTTTTTCCTCCTCCTATCCTCTAAAAGCAAAGAGGTTTCAGAGAAAGGGATTATAAGAGAGTAAGTGGGCCCACAATGGGTGTACGTATCAAAAGGAACGCATTCGTGCCAGGGAATTCTGGGAGTTGAAGTCCCACCCCTCTTAAAAGTCGCTGAGGACGACAGACCTTGATCTAGAGATCAATAGTTCGTTCGTTACACAGCATCTCTCTCTTCCTCTCTTCTCCCTCTCTCTCTTCCTCTCCTCTCCTCTCTTCTCCCTCTCTCTCTTCCTCTCCTCTCCTCCCTCCCCCCTCACCATCATCTTCATCACAGGAGCAGCTGCCAATCCAAGGCAGCATCTCAGCTGAGTGGGCAAGACACCCCTCTCCTCCTCTTCGCCGCCCCCCCCGCCAAATCTTTCTCCCGGGGGGGGCGGGGAGAGAGGAGAAAAGGAAGAGCCCCCCCTCTCCTCAAAACCTCAGAGGGAAGGGGCGATTTAGAGGAAGTCTGGGGTGCGTTGACCCATGCCAAGCGGCCTTTTGGGGGGGGCCCGACCCCCCCCTCCCATCCCAGCCTTGCCCGCCCCCCCCGCCTCTGCATTAACCCCCCCCCCCCCCGTATCACTCACCTTGCCAAGCAATGCAGCAATTTTAAGCAAACGCACCAAGAGTGCCTTCGCATCTTCAATGCTAAAACTCCCTCCCTCCCTCTTTTTTTTGACCTGGGGGGGGGGCGCGAAAGGGATTGAGAGCCAGGCGGGGGCGGGAAACTGAGGCAGAACAGAAAGGGCGAAAGTGATTCCCCCCCCCTTTTTTTTCTTCCTTAAAAAAGGTGAAGAGGGGGGGGTCTTGGCAGGAGGCGAAGAAAAATTCAAAAAAAAAATTCAAAAAAAAAAAAAGAGAGGGGAGGGAATGTTGCAAAATGCAACCTTGGGGGTCTTTCTTTCTTCCTTCCTTCCCTTGCTCAGCTGCCCCCCTCCCACCCCCCAAGCCTCCAGCACTCCCCCCCCTCCCACCCCGGGAGAGCCCACTTTCCCTTTCTGGCCAAGAAACAAAATTGCCAATAAATAAATAAATAAATGAATAAATAAATAAATAAATAAATGGTGTGTCTTGCAAGGCGGCCCCCTCCCCTATTCTCTCTCTCTCTCTCTCTCTCTCTTCCCCATTCATAATTCCTGAAGCTTTTCCAGGAGAAGCACCGCTGACGCCATCAGCTGTCTCGAAAGCTGACGCACTCCACCGGCCCCAACACACAACACACAACAACCACAATCACAACAACAACAACAACAACAGAGAGAGAGAGGGGGGGGGCGAGCGCACGGACTCCTTCCTCTCTCTCAGCCTGCCAACCTGACCCCCCTCTCTCTCTCCCCCTCCTCAAATTAAAATCATCTGCTCCGCGATCACGCAACCCCACTGCTGGGGGTGAAGGGGGTGGGATGGGGGGGTCTCTCGGAGGAGGAGGGGTCTTCCCACCCACCCCCAGGCGAATAATGAACGGAGACCCCCCCTCCCCAATAACGCAGCACTTCTATGGTACCCCCCCCCGAGTCGGGTTTTTCTGGGGATGGGGATGGGGGGGTGGGCAAAGAGTCATTTCTGCTCTGATGAGTGGGTGGGGGGGAGGCTTGGAAATTGGGGAGGGGGCGACCCTCATGGACCGACGCGGCCGGATGGGAAGAAAAGTTGAGAATCCCTCCCTCCCTCCTTTCTCCCCATCACCCCCCCCCCCTGAGCCGTCCTGCCAGAGGTGAGCCTCCCCCTCCCCAATTTCCCCAAGGGATGGCGAAATCCGCCCCTCCCCCATTGCTCAAGTCACTTCCCCTCCCCCACCCCTCAGGCCTTAAAAGAGAATTGAGCCCCCCACCATCCTTTCCAAAACCCTTCCCCTCCCCCACCCCGCCATTCTCTCCTCTGGCTTTTGCCCCCCCCCACACACACACACCCTCTCCCCCCCACACGCAGTCTGCTCCCCCCCCCGAGCAGCACCCCCCCCCCCCCCCAAATTTTAACCCACACCCCCTCAAATATTTGCATGGAATCTTCACTCTCTCTCTCTCTCTGGGATGGCTGCAGCCCCCCAGTCGGGAGGGATGGGTTTTGTAGTCCCCTGCAGCTGGAAGACCAAGGCTGAGGGGGGGGGGTGGGCCTGCAGATCTGGGGAGACCCCCATCCTCCCACCCCCCACCCCGAAATCCAAGCAGCTCTGCTGCTCTCTATGCAGCCTCATGGTTTTAAAACCTGTCCAGCTTTCAACCCTTCTCTTTGCCCCCCCCCCCCAAATTACACCCCCCCCATCACTGCAACCCCCCCACCCCCCAATACCGTCAGCAGATGCCGTTCCTTCTTCGCCTTCCGGACGTTGTTCAGAAAACGGCGGCCCATTTTCTTGGCATACCAGACGGAGACAAACATGATGTGGCACAGAATGGGAAAGGAGGGGGGGGCGGGATGATGGACCGAGGCAGGCAGGGCCCCCCCCCACCCCAGTTCCTTAAGAGCGGCTTCAAGATCTCTCTCTCTGCCCCCCCCCCTTCAATGCCTCCAAGCTTCGCTGTCTGGATTGGGAGGAGGGGGCTAGTTGGTTTTGGGGGGCCAAAGGGGAGAGAGGGCAGCCCCGGGTGGCATCGGCCTGGAAACTCCTGCGTTTGGGGGGGGCAGGATTGTGCCAATGACGGGGTGGGGGGCGCGCAGCAAGGAAGGCGCTCTATCCCTCCCTCTTGCTCAGCCTCCTCATCCTCAGTGGCAACCCCTTCCTTCCTTCCCTCCCTCCCTCTCCCTCTCTCCCTCCTTCCTTCCTTCCCTCCCTCTCTCCCTCCTTCCTTCCTCCTATCTCCTCCTTTCTCTCTCTCTCTCTCTTTCACTATTTTGCTCTTTCACTCTTCTTCCCTCCCTCCCTCTCCCTTTCTCTCTCTCTCCCCGTCTCTCTACCTTCCTTCCTCCCTTCTTTCCTTCCTTCTATCTCCTCCTTCCTTCTTTCCTCTCTCTCTCTTTCACTATTTTGCTCTTTCACTCTTCTTCCCTCCCTCCCTCTCCCTTTCTCTCTCTCTCTCCCCGTCTCTCTACCTTCCTCCCTTCTTTCCTTCCTTCTATCTCCTCCTTCCTTCTTTCCTCTCTCTCTTTGACTGTTTTGCTCTTTCACTCTTCCTCCCTCCCTCTCCCTTTTTCTTTCTCTCTCTCTCTCTCTCTCCCTGTCTCTGTACCTCCCTTCCTTCTTTCCTTCCTCCTTTTCTTTTCCTCCTTCCTTCTTTCCTTCCTTCCTTCCTTCCTCTCTCTCTCTTTCACTGTTTTGCTCTTTCACTCTTCCTCCCTCTCTCTCCCTTTCTCTCTTTCCCCCGTCTCTGTACCTTCCTTCCTTCTTTCCTTCCTCCTTTTCTTCTTTCCTTCCTTCCTTCCTTCTTTCCTCTCTCTCTCTTTCACTGTTTTGCTCTTTCACTCTTCCTCCCTCTCTCTCCCTTTCTCTCTTTCCCCCGTCTCTGTACCTTCCTTCCTTCTTTCCTTCCTCCTTTTCTTCCTTCCTTCCTCTCTCTCTCTTTCACTGTTTTGCTCTTTCACTCTTTCTCCCTCCCTCTCCCTTTTTCTTTCTTTCTCACTCTCTCTCTCTCTTTCTCTCTCTCTCCCCTGTCTCTCTGCCTGCCTTCCTTCTTTCTTTCTTTCCTTCCTTCCTTTTTTCTTTCCTGGGGTGGAGGGGCAAGCCAGCTCACCACAGGGTCCTGAAAAGATGGGGAGCAGCAGGGGCAGGTGGAGGGGGCATCAGGGGAGGGAGGAACCCCAGTTTTTCTTTTCCCCCCCCCTTCCCAAGAGAGGGAGAGAGAGAGAGAGGAAAGGGAGAAGAAAGGAAGCAATCTCTAGGCAGGGAGAATGCTGGTGAAGGGGACGGGGTCTCGGCTGCCAAGGGGGAGAGCGTCTCCTAGGCACTAGACCCCCCTCTTTTCTTCCTCCTCACCCCCCCACAACCTGCTGGCATGCTCCTCCCCATTGCCTTTTCGGAGCAGATGGAGGCCCAGATGGAGCAGGAGCTGAAACCCCCCCCCATGTCTGCTAGGGCCAAAGGAACAACAGTGGGGGGGGAGGAACGGAGGGAGGGACAGCTCCTTTTGGGGATGGGGGCTCCAGCAGAAAGCGAGGGTCTCTCTCTCTCTCTCTCCCCCCCCAACACTGGGCATCCAGAGGCCTCCCCTCTGCCCCCACCCCATCCTGGGGAGGGTGGGGGGGGGGAAGGCGCCGAAGGACTGAAACTGACGGTTTAAACAGCCGCCCCCTCCCCAATCTGGAGCGCTTCTTTTCATTGGCAGGAAAGGAGGAGAGAAAAGGATGATGTGGGGGGGGGGCGTCTGAGCTTCCGGTAAAGGGGGGGGGAGCAGAAAAAGCAGGAACAAGGGCTCTGGGTCTTTGGGGGGGGAGGGAGGAGATTTGGTGGGGGGGGGCTGCTAGGGAGGAAGGGGATTTCGAATGAAAGCCCCCCACCCTCCCTTCCCCTGTCCGGATGGATGGATGGATGGATGGGAAAAGAAAGAGAGAAGAAAGGGGGAAGGGAGGGATTCGCAGGTGGGCCACAGGTCCTGGGCCGAAAGGATGGAGCGCAGGTGGAACCCCTGCCCAAAGACCCCCACCCTGGCACCACCACCCCCTTACCTGTCCACGAAAGATGGGGAAAACAAGGGGGGGAAGAATAGGTGGGCCCAGTTCTGGGGTGCGAGCATCTCCCTGGGCATCCGAGCCCCACAAAAGCAGCTGTCCGAGAATGCCCTGCTGTTGACCGCCTGGGCCACCAGGGGGCGCCCTTCTCCCACTTCTGCTGCTGCTGTTACTACTGCAAAACCTTGGGGGGGGGGGGCGCTTCCCTAATCTGGCCCACGGTGGGGTGGGGGGAAGCGAGGGAGGAGGAGGAGGATGCTGGGAGCTGTAGTCCCTGGAAGAGGCCAGGTGGGCGAAATCAGAATAATGGGGAAGGGGATTGTGGGGGAGGGGGGCACGCCTTCATTTCCCCCTTTCTCCCCCACCCCCCCACTTCCCTGCCTTTGATCCAGATCTCAGATTAGCCAGATTCAAACCAGGATTCGGGGGAATCCTGGGGGCAAAACCTCCTAAAATAATCCCGAGGAATCATTGCTAAACAGCCCCCCCCCGCAGACTAGCCCCTCCCCCACTACAGGGGATCCACTGGGGATCCCTCCAGAGATTAACCTCTCCTGTTAGCAGTCCTGTCAACGACAATAGAGGTAATCCTCACACCTATGACCGTTTAGTGACCGTTCCAAGTTACAACGGCGCTGAAAGCAAACGACTTACGACCCGTCCTCGTACTTATGACCATTCGTTTAGTGACCGTTCCAAGTTAACAACAGCACTGAAGACAAACGACTTACAACCAGTCCTCATACTTATGACCATTCGTTTAGTGACCGTTCCAAGTGACAACAGGCACTGAAAAAAGAATGGCAGCTATACAGCTGGTCCTCGGCTTACAATGATTTGTTTAGCGACAGTTCTGAGTTCCAACGCCAGTAAAAAAACACGAGGACTGACATGATCAGTCCTCGCACTTACGACCGTGGGAGCATTTTTTTCCCCCCCATGGTCACACGATCGAAATTCCGGGACTTGGCAACCGACCCTTTGCGATCTTCACAACCAGTTTCCGGCCCAGCAAAATCGTCGGAGGGAGTTGGATTCGCTGAATGACCATCTGATTCATTTAACGACCGCAGCGATTGGCTTAACGACAAGACGTCGCAAAACTGGGAGCGACTCGCCTCACAACCGTCTCGCTTAGCAACGGCCGTTCTGATCCCTGTTGGGGTCGTAAATCGAGGACTACCTGTAACCCTAGGGATCCTTTCTAACTAACGCTTTGCGTCTTCTTCCTCTGCAGCTTGCCACGCTTCGGAAAAGGTAGACTGCTCTAGGAGATGGAGGTTCCATCTAGCGGCGACAGGCACGGAGGCCTTCGTTCTCCGTCCGCGATGCCAGGGGCTGATCCTGGCACCGTCCTCGGAAATTAAGTGCAAACGTGACTCAAACAGAACAAAATATTCTGTCTGCACCCACGAAAAGAAAAGATTGTGCCGTAGGCCGCATAATAGGAGCAGCCCAAGCATTTATCGGCTGCTTTTTGATCTTTTCCCCTTTGCCTCTCCCTCGGACCCTAGAAAAGACCCCCCCCCTCTCAAATACTACCATTTTTCACTCCTGACAACTTTAAGGTGGGTGGGCTTCAACTTTCAGAATTCGGTGACCATAACGTAGTTCTTTTGATCTGCGTCCCGCTTTCTACTCCTGGTTACTCTCTTGTAATCCCTTCCTCTGCGGTCTCTCTCCGCTCTAGGGAGTGGGAGACAGAAAACGGGCATGGCTGGCTGCCTGGGGAATTCTGGGAGTTGAAGTCCACCCATCTTAAAAGTCGCTGCCCTAAATTAACACCGACGGCAAAAACGAAGGCACGCACAGGCATACTAATTCCCGCTGCTCTGCCTTGTAACGAACGCAAAACCTTCTCAAGGTACTTAAGCCCTGATTAACTGTCCTGACCTTTCAGCCACGGGGGACATCCAAATTAAATACATTTGCATAAGGACGGGCCCAGCTGTCCTGCCGTGGCCTCGGGACACTTCCTTCGTCACGTTGTCCAGGAAAGAGCGGATGTGACATCCGGGAAAGATATACAGATTGGATGGGGGGGGGGCTTTTGCAACCTCCATTTTGACTTTTTTGCCCTCCAGGGGAGACTCCCCTGTTCCTAATCACAGGTAGATTACAGTTCTACCTTTCACGGTTCCAGTTCCTAACTTGTATCTCTGTCCATGTTGGGAAACTACCAACCAGGCAGGGAGGAGGCGTCAAGTAGGGAAGTAGTCTAGCATCCTTGCACAGCTGCAAATGCCATCAGCCTCATCCCTCCAAAGAGCCATGGAGCCTCATTTATTTATTCAATTTATTTATTCAATTTATTGGTTTAGAATATAACCTTATCTGGACAGTTTCTTGTACTATAGGTAGGACACAGTACACGTAGTCCTCGACTTACGACCATTCGCTTAGTGACCAAAGTGACAACGGCCCTGAAAAACGTGACTTAGGATTGGTTGTCCACACAACTGTTGCGGCGTTCCCCAAGGGTCACGTGAGCCAAAGCCGGACGCTCGGCAACTGACTTGTATTTACGACGGGTGCAGTGTTCCGGGATCCTGTGCTTTCCCCCTTTTGCGACCTGCTGGCAAGCAAAGCTAACAGGGAGGCCAAATTCACTTAACAACGGTGTTACTACAACTTAAGAATTGCGCTGACACACTTAACAAGAGTGGCAAGGAAGGCAAACCCCACTTAACAAATGTCTGACTTAAAGACAGGACATTTTGAGCTTAATTGTGGTCATAAGTCAAGGACCACTTGTATATAAGAACACCGTTGCAAAAGAGAGCTCAAACATAACAGATAAACATCTGGAGAACTTCACAGCAAGTTTGGACAGAGGACCAAGTCTTCTACTCCTCCATCAAACCGCGTCTCTTCAGCCCCATGCCGACCCACATTTATGGAGAACGATGTGGGGAACGGTGCCCCCCCCCCCCCCCCCCCCCCCCCGACTTGCAATCTTTCGGTGGAAGGGAAGGAAATGAGGTCACGCAAATCCCTGCTTTAGCATCCTCTGAATATCAAGCTTGGTCATGTGAAGACTTGGGGACTTCAACTCCCAGAATTCCCCAGCCAGCTCTTTTTTTAAAAAAAATTTAATTTGCTGAAGTCAAGATATAT